GGCTATCGCCCGCTGCCCCCTCTCCTCCATCTCAGAGGGGAGCTCCAGCTCCCAGCGACCCCCAACTTCCAGACCTTAACCCCCTGCTTGCTGGGTAGGAGGGAGCCTGCCAGGGGCTGCCACTTGCCGCCCCCCACCACTACCGCTTTCCCAGGGTGGGGGCTCCAGTGACCGCCCCCCTCCGACAGACATCCAGACCTTAAGCCCTTGCTTGCTGACTGGGGCCAGGCCAGGGCCTGGAGAGCCTGAGCCCACCGCCCACTGCTCTGGGAAGGCGCTGTGTCAGATCACCAAGGGCTTACTAACCGCGGAGACTTAAGGAACTTAACCCCTTTGTTCAGAGAGAGCGTGGGTCTGGAAAGGGGGCTTCCGCCCCGCTACCTCTCCCCCCTGTCAGGTGTGTGTGTGTGGGGGGCTCCACCTTGCCAATGACCTACCCCAACTTCCAGATCTTAACCCTCTGCTCCTTGGCTGAGTGAGATCCCAGCCAAGGAGCTCCTGCCCTCTGCTCCCACCCCCTTTCACAAGAGGCGCCTTCAGCCCTGGTGTCTCTGCCCCCCTTCCCCAAACTTCCAGACCTTAACCCTCAGCTTGCTGAGTGGCAGTCAGGCCAGGAGCCTGAGGCCCACCATCCCTCCCACCCCTGGGGGAGTGGGGGGTGGCTCCGGCTCCCAGTGCTGCCTGGCCCCCATTTTCCAGACTTTAACCCCCTGCTTGCTGAGTGGCAGCCAGCCAGCCAGGATAGGTGGGGGGAGAGGGGAAGGAGGAGGTGTGTCAGCTCACCAATGACTTCACACTGCCCCCTCCCCTCCAGTTAGAGAACTTTAAACCCTCTGGTTCAGAGAGTGGGTTCCCAGCCAGGGGGCTTCAGCCTGCTGTCCCCCACCTCTAGTTTGCCAATGACCTAAGAGCCCCTCCCCCCTTTCCTGGCAACTTAAAACTTAACCCCCTGTTCTTGACTGGGAGCCAGAAGACCAGCAGTCACCCAACCCTGGCTCACCAGTGATCTAAAGATCCCCGGCTGAGAGATCTACCCCTGCTTGTTGAGTGGGAGCAGGGCAAGGGGGGCTGAAGCCCGTACCCCACCACCTGTCACTCAGGGGTGGGGGCATGTCTGATGGCCAGTGACGTAACACTCTCCACGCAGAATTACAGATCTGAGCACCACCTGCTGCATGAGTGGGGGGCTGGCTGGCTGAAGCTCATACACCGCCCCCCCCCAGGGTTTGCTAATGACCTAAACCCCTATGCCCCCATCCTGCCAACTTAGGGATCTTAGCGCCCTTGTTCACTGAGTGGCAAACCTGACAGGGGGCTTGTACCCACTGCCCTGGACTCAGTGCTGGAGGGGGGGAGGGGAGGCAGGGGTTAGCCCAGGACGTAACCTTGCCCCCCACATCCAGACCTTAACCTCCTGCTCTATGAGTGGGTTCCTGGCTGGGGGGCTCCCTCCCACCACCCCTGACCCACCACTAAAAGCCCTCCACCCTGCAATTTAGAAATCTTAAGCTCCTGCTCACTCTGTGGGTGCCTGGCCAGGTCAGGGGTCTTCCTCCTGCAGTCCCCACCCACCACACCCCTGTCAGCACCTACCTGCCTCTCTGTTATCTCGGGGAATGGCCCCACTTGGTCTCCACCATCTCAACACCCCGCCAGCTTAGAGAACAGCAAGGGCCCCCCACCTAGGTGGGAGCATGGCCAGCATCCCTCCCACCCACCTAACAATGCTCTGAGAGCATTGGCTACCTGCTATCATACCGTTTTGATTATCACAAGGAGAGACACCCTCCTCCCCATGCTCCCGGAGTTCGCAGAAAAGAGGCCCACTCCCCCTGCTCAGAGGGGCAGTGGGGATTTCCTGTCTTCTGCCCCACTGTCCCCAAAGAGGGTGGCATCCCAGGAGCCATCTGTCCTCCATCCCCACACTCTCCCCCTCCCCCTTCAGCGGTGGTGTCAAGCTCCTCTCATGCCTTGAGGGAGGGCTGTTCTGCTCCACACTCAAAGCCAGGCCCAGGAGGCGCTGCTGGGGTCAGGTGTTGCCGGAAGAGGCAGCTCTGGGACTGGCCTCTGGTGCTGTGGGGGGCGGTGGGAGACAAAGGTGCATGCGGATGCTGGGGCAGCATCCTTGTCCTGCTGCAGCCCCTCCTGTCCTGGCCAGGGAGCAGGATGCATCGCCCCACCCCCTCCTGGCCACCCCTACCTTATGCAGGCTTTGTCCAATTACAGGGAGGCCAGTATGCCCCCACCCCCACCCCAATCAGGAGACAAGCCCTGTCTCCTTGCTAAAGCTTCCTGGAGCACAGGAGGGGACCCTTGGCTCTCAGGCCACCAGTAGGTAGCTTGATAGTGGGACTCTGGATTGTTCCGGGAGAGACTTGATCTGAGCTTTGGTCTCTGTACCCTGGCATGGCCCAGGACCTCGGAGTCCTGCTTGTGACCCTGGGACCCCTCAAGCAGGAGAATTTGGTCCTCTGACCGGTGGCCACAGGACCAGGCACGGAGAAGGGCCAGGTGGCTCAGGAGTTAGTTCTATTTTTAGCAGCAGGTAAAGCCTGCTCATCCCAAGTGTCCATGTCTGGGCGTTAGGTGGCACAGCTCTGTACACATGTGCTTGCTCGCAAGCACACACACACACACACACACGCACGCACGCACGCACATCTTCTCTACTCCTGGAATCTCAGGGAGGTGCCCTGGGCACATGCACTCAGGGTCTTCGGGCCTTGTGCAACCCAGAGATGCAGAGGGAATGGGGGGAGGTCATGATGAGAAGGGGCTCCCAGTGTCTTCCTTTGGCCCCACTGCCTGTCCCCTGCCACCCACCCACCCCTGCCACATGGCCCAAAGCCCCCTCAGCAGGAGAGTCAACTCCTAGGGCTTCAGGTCCTGAGTCTGTCCTGCCTGTGCATGATCAGGACAGCTTGCTCCAGTGTCAATGCCCACTGCCCCCCCCCCCCCCGCCCAGCACAAAGCTTCCTTCTTCCATGCCACACTAAGGTCCTGCCAGATCTCAGGGTTTGGGAGGGTGGGAGGGCAGACTGGTCCACAGAGCCCAGATCCTCAGCTGGATTGGCTCCATCCGTTCTGGTTCACCTGGGCTCCCTTCCACCGGAGACCCTCACTCTCTCCCCAGGCTTTCCAGGGCTAGCAAATGCCCACGGCTCATCTTCTTGCCCATCCTGGCTGCTCCTCCACATAGTCCTCATATTGACAAACATGTGCCTCGCCCACTCAGGAAGAGGGAAAGAGTAAGTTGTCTATAAATCAGGGTTATGGAAAGAAAGAACCTGTTAGGGAATATAAACGTTTAATTAAATCTCTTCCTCCCTTTTCTAGGGCAGCTGGGGTATTTTAAACACCCAGAATTGATTATATATATGTATATATTCCATATGGCAGAGGGGCTGCTGCAAGACTTTGAGGAAATTCACTAAATCTTGGTGGTAAATATAAGAGAGGCTTTGCATTCCACCCCTCCCCCCAGATCCGCCAATGAAATATTCATCACTCATTCCATGGTTGGTTCACATGATAAACATTTTTTCTGTGCATACTGTGTATCAGAGATTCAAGAGAAAAAATTTAAAGTGGCTGACAGCTGGGGTGAGAGGCAAAATCAAGGGGCTGCCCCTCTGTAGGCTGTTCACGGCTGAGTGTCAGAAGCAGATTGCCAGGTCTCCTGAACCTTCTACAGCACCCAGGCGCTCCCCTTGCAGACACCAACCATGAGCAAAGCCAGCTCCTGCCACCTACAGCAACAACCTGGCCAGTGGACTGAGACTGATGGAGCTGCTGACCCAGGGCAGGCTTCAACCCAGGAAAGGAGAAGGCGGCAGATTGAGGCTGCGTGGACACACTTACCGAATGGACTGCCGGGCCCACCCACATCGCTCTCCACGCCCATGAGACCAGAAGAACCAGGTGGTGCCCGGCAACCATTCACGCCCGCTCTGAAAAGGATCCCCATAGAACTTCCCACAGGCCGTAGGGGCACATGTGGAAAGGCAGAGCTCAAAATCACAAAAGATGCCGCCTGCTCACTGCACAGAGAGGAGGCACAAGCCGGGTGGACCTTCCCCAGGGTTCAGGTCCAGGGCTGAACTCACCCCCGGGCTCTGGTTTCAGCCCAGCAGCAGGCAGGTCTACAAGAGGGTCAATAACAGGAGGGAGGTACCCCCTTAGAGGCATCAGCCATTTGAGATCACAAGGGCAAAGTCCAGGGGATTAGGCAGGGAGAGGGGCTGGAAACAGGAAGCACAGAGAGGAGGTGGGGGAGGGATCCATGTCAGGAACGGAATCCTGTCTGAGTCGGAAACCTTCACCTGATTCACAATAACATGCTTGAAAATAATAATACGTACAGACATACAGAAAATCAACTGAAATGTAGATCCTGATTGAGTAATACTAGAAAATGAAGTGGAATTTGGAGCCTCCTCAGTCAGGGTGCTTGCTGCTTGGCGGAGGCTCTCTGCAGGGCCGAGCTCTCCGGCATCTCAGCCCAGCCCATCAAGGATGACAGGCACACAGAGCTCTCCCTCTGTAAGAAGGGGCTCGCTGGACTGGGGCACGAAATTGACTCAGGAAATTCCCCACG